GGAAGCCTCGCTGCAGCCCGCCCTGTGGGAGGGAGGGCCAGGTCCTCCCAGGGGATGGGCCAGACAGCTGGCAGCCTCGCAGACCTTGGGCCTAAGGCCAGCAGGTGACGTCACTGGGGAAATCTCCCGAGTCAGAGAGAATGAAAGCCTCGGAGTGCGGGTGTCAGTCCGCGGCTGCTGCCCACTGGGCGAGAGGATGCTTCCTGGAGCTCCTGGCGGGAAGGTGTGGGGGTGCAGTTGGTCCCAGAGAGCAGGGGCGGTGCCAGTGGAACTCGAGGGAGAACCTGTCACAGCTGTGAGCTTAGCCCCGGAGAGGGAGAGGCGGTGGGACGAGGGCGGGTTGCCGGGTCTCACTAGGCTTTGAACCAGTTGGGGGCTTCCTCCTCACGCTGGCGCGCAGCAGGACAGTGTAATAAGTGAGACATCGGTGTGGCCTTCCCCAGGAGCCACGGGACCGCTCCAGCGCCCGCCTTCCTCCCGCAGCCTGTCCGGTCGCTCTGCCCAGAGCCCGGGCTTCTTTCCAGCCACGGGGGTGGGTCTGCGGAGCACAGCCCGAGAGGTGAGTGGTGCCCGACCATGGTTCCCCAGGCCTGTGAGGTGCGGACGCCGGCTCATGGCTCACCACCCTTTCCTGTGCCAGATGCAGCCGGGACCCTGGGGGTGCGGGCGGCAGAGCCCGCAGGACTTCTGCCAAAGGAACCGGCTCAGGTGTCAGAGCAGGGGCACCTCGGTGGGACACGCATCTAATGGTCAGAGTGAATGCGGGACCTGGAGGAGTGGCGATGGGCAGCCGCTGGCGCTGGGCTGCTGAGCACCGCGACCTGGGCCTCGTCCTCTGGAGCTGCGTGTAAACTTCGCGGTGCAGGTGTGCGCCAGGCACAGACGGGCCTTCCACCCTCGGGCGGCCTCTGTGAGACCCAAGGCTGCCAGGGCGTCACAGCTGCCACAGAGGCAGGAAGAGGACCGTGGCCCATTCAGAAGGGTGTGCAGTTGGCACTCAGGGAGAGACCGGAAGGACTTGTCCCTGAGGGAGTCCACAGCTGACTGGCTTCAGAGGGAAATGGTGGCGTCTGTTTAAAATACCCCTGTGCTGGCAGCAGGGGGGTGGCTCGGTGGAGGGGAGACACAGAGGCTGGAAAGATCCAGGCGCGAGCTAAGGAGCTGGGCGCAGGCAGCACCGCGGCCCTGGGAGTGGAGACAGGGATGCACTTCAGAGATGAGCGCCAGGCCCTGGGGATGGAGGAGGGGCCAGGGGTTTTGCGCAGGATCCGGCCCATCCGCACACGCTCGGGAGAAGGAAGACACATCTGCCGGGGGCACAGCGACCTTGGGGAGCGTGGGAGGCAGGGAGGAGGCATGCTGGGGAGGATGGGCCGGCCTGGCGCCCTGGCCGTCTGTGAACAGAGTAGTTGTCACAACAGACCATGTGGCTCTGGACTGAGAGGCAGCTGCCTTTGGGAAAGGGGTCTATCCCCTTGAGGGGCCACCTCGTCTCCAGCTCCGATGGGGGTGGGACGGTTCCGGGCAGCACAGGAGTCCGGATGGCGCTGCTGCTGACGGCGCGGGCCTGTCCCGCGCCACTGCCCGTGTCACGTCTGGAGCTGCCTCTGCTCGCAGGGCGCCTGGCGCAGAGCGTTCCTCGCGGACGTGGGCACCAACCACGTTCTCAGGGTTCCCTGTGCTTTTCCGCAGGATCTTCTACGTCTCTCACGACTCCCAGGACTTGAAGATCTTCAGCTACATCGCCCGAGACGGTGCCAGCAACGTGTTCAGGTGCAACGTGTTTAAGTCCAAGAAGAAGGTAAAGGGACAGGCCCGCCCCCGTGGCCTCCTGCTGGACCCAGTGCCTGGCACTGACTCTCTCCCTGGTGCCACGGGTCTGGAGGCACTGCTGCCGCGGGGATGCCTAGGAGGTGCCACTCCCCTGGTGACGTGCCCTTTAGTCTCGTCTGCACGCTGTACCTCATGACGGACGGACACAGGTTCCCATTGGGTCAGCCTCGGGAGGGATGCGGCTGAGCAGGGGTGGCTGCTCTTGGACCCTTCCTCTCCACGCTGTCCACCGGCGAGGCTGCAAAGCGACACGTGGCCCGTGGCTTAGGCGTGGGGGTGACCGCGTGGTCCTGGGTAGCTGCCTTTGCACAGTAACCTTGATCTGGAGGAAGTGAACCAGGGCAGCTATGGGGCTTGCTTCCTCTTCCCCCTCCAGGCCCACACACCCATCTCGCCGCACCCTCTGCAGCCTGCACGGTGCTCTGTGGGTCACTGTCCCCACGGCTCAGCATCCCCGGCTATAAAGCCGGAAGGAAGGGGGTTACCCAGACATACCGTAAGGCACTGGCACTGAGCGCCTGTCTCAACCTGCCAGCGGCTCCAGAGTTGGCGAAACCCATGTGACTTGGTTTAACCCAGCGCTTCTCAAACCGATGTGGCCGTGGAATTGTGCCCACCGTGGGACAAGTGAGCGCGGACCGTTCTGCAGGAGGGGTGTTGGGAGGACTGTGTGCCTGAAAAGTCCGTCCATCGAGCCTGGCTGCATCCACCACAGGCCCTCCGTGCCCCCCTTCAATGTGGTGACGTCTTGTGCGTCAGGCATCTGAGTAGGTCTGCAGGCACCTGGTCAGGTTGGGGTGGTAGGAGTCACAGGTGACAGGCAGGGGTCTGGGCCCTGGGCCCGTCCCACCCGCTCCACAGAGACTACACTTTGCTGAGGCAGCTGAGCTCCTGTCCCAGGCATCCTGCTCGATTGTGGGCCTGGACAGGAGAGGGAGGCAGGCAGTGGAGACCGCATGGCCGGGGCCCCGAGAGGAAGTGGGGGCTGTGTCAGCTGTGTGTTGCAGGCCATGGTGGGGCGGGGGGAGGAGCAGCGCCCGCGCGGCAGGTTGGTGCTCTCCGACAGCTGCCGTAGAGAGGGAGTGCACTCTGAGCTACTCAGGGCTTGGCCCCACATCTGACCTGGTTTTGTTCAGAGACTGGGCCCCGGGGCCTTGGAGTTTATCAGAGTGACAAGTGGCAGGTTATAACTTACAAAGTGTTTTACTATCTGATCATACTCGATCCTTATAACGCCTACTGAAGATCGATGTTTCTAACTCTCTATCCCTCTCCCTGCCTCTCTGTAAAAAAATCAATAAAATATATTTTAAAAAAAGAAGACACAGATTTTCACCCACAGTTTGCAGTGAGTAAATCGAGGCTCTGAGAGACTAAAGGACCTGCCCCGCGTCTCTTGAAGAAGCGCAGGTTCGGGTCAGGGAGCCGCACAGAAACTGACTGACTGGAGCCTGGGAAAAGGGACCTTTTGCTATTGGCTTTGCCTGCCATCTCCTCAGTGATGCGGGCAGTGGGGTGGGGTCGATCCTCCTTCTGCCAAATGGATTAACCCAAGGAGATTCCTGCCACCCAGTGACAAAAAGTGGTCATCGGTTCCTGTTCACTCCCAGCTCTCAGCTAATTCTGACCTTTGGCTGGTCTCCTGTCCCTGTGCCCTCACCTGGGAGGCCTGGCAGCCAGGAGCAGCTTCTAGGCCCTGGGCTGCCATCAGACATCTTGGGCTGGGAGCCCCTCGCTGAGCTATAGCTGGAGGGGCAATGTCCACGCCCAGAAAGAGAAGGGACTTGCTCAGCAAAGGAAGCAGGGCAGGAGACAGGGTGGGGAGGCAGAGCGTCTGCCGGGCGTGCTTACCTTTCTGTCGGGGAGATAGCAGGTTGGGAAGGAGTTGTAAATGGCAGGTCACAGGAGTGCTTGGGGCGGGTGTCACAGGCACGCCTCTAGGTTGTGGGAGGTTGGCAGGGAGAGCTCTCGCCTGGAGCCTCACGCTGACCGTGGTGTGGGAGAGCCTCGCTGAACATGGTGTGGGAGAGCCTCGCTGAACATGGTGTGGGAGAGCCTCGCTGACCGTGGTGTGGGAGAGCCTCGCTGAACGTGGTGTGGGAGAGCCTCGCTGACCGTGGTGTGGGAGAGCCTCGCTGAACGTGGTGTGGGAGAGCCTCGCTGACCGTGGTGTGGGAGAGCCTCGCTGAAC